GATTTTGTGGGGGGGGGGGGGGGGCTTGCTTGAAAGGTTCTGTGATGAAAACATAAGGCCAATGTCGTGACACCAGTATATACCCCACAACCCGATGTTATTTGTCAAGGGCCCTGAGCACCCTTACAACACCCATACTTTAACCTACCAGAACCTACTTTTTGTAGGGTCCCTATAAATCCCATATTGAGATTTATAATAAGAACCCACAAAAAAGTGGGTTATGGTAGGTTAAGGTACTAGGACCCTACTCTAACTGGCACCTATCGCACCTCTTCTGCTTAGGCTGGGAGCGATTTGTGCTTATCCTTGGTATTCTCTGCCGTCCGCTTCTGGGCTCGGTAAGGGCCTTTTGGAGTTTAGGGTTTAGGGTTTAGGATTTAGGGTTTAGGGTTTAGGATTTAGGGTTTAGGATTTAGGGTTTGGGGTTTGGGGTTTAGGGTTTAGCATGTTTTTTTGGAATCCCGTATTGCGCTCTTGCAAGCTGAAAGAGTGTTACAAGGGTCAAGGAACTTAACTGAGTTACCCAATGCAGACAAAATACTAGTAGCATGCTTTCCTTACTGTGGTAATAGTCAAGTCCAGTACTCCATAAACCCTGCCACCTCAACCTTATGCTAAGACTAAGAGTATACCTTTTTAAAGCTAACCTTATGCTACAACTACTAAGAGTATACGTTTCTTACTAAGTTCTACTACGTGAAGCTCCTGGGGAAACGAGCCGAGGCTGTCCTGCTGCATCTGGGATGCCGCTCAGAAGCTCTTCGACAAGTGGCAGGTGGGAGTTTCCGAAAATAGGGGACCCTAAACCCTAAACCCTAAACCCTAAACCCTAAACCCTAAACCCTAAACCCTAAACCCCAAATAGTAGGGTCCTTATTATGAGGACTCCAGAATAAGGTACCCCTTCTTTTCGGAAACTCCCAGGTCGGTGCTCCACGGATTGAGTATGCCTCGGTGGTGGGCAACAGAGGACCCGGAGGGGTTTAGGGTTTGGGGTTTAGGGTTTAGGGGTTTAGGGTTTAGGGGTGCCATTTTGGCTCAAGGGTGGCCATTTTGGCTCAAGTCCTTTGGCTACGAGACTCAGAAGAGTGACTTTTCCAATTAGGTTTCCTCCCCCTGGTACAGCAATGGCGGGCACCAGGAAACTTGAATCTTGCATTGCCTATAGTCTGCGGCATGCCAAGAAAGCTGGGTGGGAAGAGGTCGCCGATTTCTTGTCCAGTGCTCTCTTTCATGCAACGAAGTGCCGCAACCACAGACATCCCGTTCGTCTCTACTCCGCATTAGGGCTTGACATGGAGCTGCATGAGTCGCTCAACGGTGGCAAGATCGATGACCATTTCTCTTCGCAACGAGGCACCGCAGTGGA